AGTGTCCTTACCATGGAGCTGATGCTGAGGGGTGACCCCGAGGGCTGTGTGAAGAGCCCCCCCGCCGAGGGCAGGGCTCTCCGTTTCGGGGAGGCGGCGCCGCTCCCGCCGGGGGTCCCAGTGCTGGATCGCTTCCGCCGGCCCCGCTTCTTCCCGTCCTGCGCGTGGGCCTGGCCGGGCACTGGGCTGTGCTTGCTGCAAGGGGATTGTTTTACATGTCCTGTATTAGGAGAGATTGTAAAGATGATTCTCCTCTTGGCCTCGTTCTCAGGGTCTGAAAACGCTGCATCACACTGCAGGTCCCCCTTTGTTCCTTCGGCAAAGATCTTCTGAGCCTCTGCACTCTGCAGTCCCCCTGCCAGGCTCTGGGCCGGGCCACTTAAGCGGGGGCTCGAGTGCTGCTGAGCAGGGGAGTTCTGCCCAGAGTTCCTCATCATTAGCAAAGGATGTTGTGGAGTGGAACTCCGAGACCCTACAGAGTTAAAGAGACTCCCAGAGTCGTCCAGAGCTGCCTGATCAACACTATGGTTAAGATGGGCTGGGCTGTTTGTAAGATTTCCATTGACTGCCACGGAGCCAGAAGAGTAAGAAAAACCTGTTGAGAGGGAAAGTATAGATCATTGCTGGGGCTGAGCGAGGGAGAGGTCACTGAGTACAGGGCTGGGAGGGCCAGGAGGGATTCCAGCTCTGCCTGCAGAAAACAGCCACTGGCCCTGGACTACGTGGAAAACACTGCTGCTTTTCCAGGGGGCAGTGAGAACGTGGCTCTGGGTGCTGAGGTGCCAGCTGGGGGTTAGGGACTCCCACTGCTCTCCTGTCAGCTCAGGAAAATCCACGTGGTATATGGAGGTATCCCATAGAACACGTGCTCCTGCCAGTTTTACATGGAATTCGAGTTTAAGCTTTGTTTGAACTATTACCCCGTTTGAAATCAGGGCTCCTCTACTCTCAACTCCTTCCTTTCAGCAAGGAAATGGATGGGCAGACTCAGTCCTTCCCTTCCCCAAAATAAAAAGGACTTTGCCATACACACAGCCCACCTCCTCCGAGTTCAACAAAAGGCTTAGGAAGTCACAGGGGACCTTCAAAGAGATAGTGGCAGAAAAATGCAACAAGGGATGAATCTTGGGAAGGGAATTCAGTGTTTGTCACGGGGTACCTTAAATGGGTTTAAGCTCTAGGATGGCCTGGGCTCTCTAAATGAAAAGGGCAGAAGGGAACAACATGGTCATGGTTTACAAGTTTTTTTTTTTAAATATTTCGTTGGCTTTATAGAAAAATGCAGCCAAGTCCTTTGCAAAACAGATATTGAAACAACCCAAGCCCCTCAGGGGGGAAAACGCTGAGAACAAAAGCACTCTCTGGTGAGAGATCAGCTGTAGAACCTATTTCTCCTGGCCCACAACATTCCCAGAGTAGCTAAAGACCACGATTTCCACAGATGAGTGAGACAGAAGCAATGTCTGCATCTAAAGGGATCCCCATCCTCTCCCATTTGAGCTTTTCCCACCCAGATTCTTGTGCCTTTACAGCTGCTCATGAGACACAAAAAATTCATTCTGCTATTTAAAGACCCTGTAAAATAAAACTTTTAGAGCCAGATCACCAGCTCAGGACACAGCTGTGTAACTCTTCAGGTTTGCCACACTGTAAATCTGTGGGAATCTCTGGATCCCCACAGAATTTACAGAAGCAATTGTTTATTTACAAGTAAAGGCACATCAATCCAGCCCTTTAGGCCAGATGCACCTCAAACTAGAGGCACATCAGAGCAGGATGTTTCTGGTCTCAGCCACACTTATCCAGCACTCCAGTGCCTGCAGGACCTGGCAAGAAGTGCTTGGAAAACTCAGCCATGTGTGTTCAGGGGCTGCCCCAACCCAGGAGCAGCTGTGCACAGGTGAGGCTGTTACCTGAGGTAGCCAAAGCCAGAGGCTTGTTTCCAGCAGCATTGCTTATGCCATTATGAGAACTAGCACCAATCTGCTTTTCAAGTGTCGATGAGTCTCTGCTCTGGTGAACTGGGCTGGGTGTGCTTCTCTGAGGAGAGAAACAGGCATTTCAGGACACAGCATCAGAAATCTACAGCTTTAATCAAATTCACATGCATTACTACATCTGTCTCAGGAAGAAGCTCTACTTCTTATATGCCCTAGATTGAGCTTGTTTTGAGAAAATCATGGGTCAGCACATTATGGGCCAAAAATGTGATTAATTATATTGCAGCAGTATCTCACACACCACAGACACCATGCAGAGAGGGAGGCTCATCATCACAGGATATTCAGACTCGGCCAGGAGCTCTGAATTCCAGCTCTGCCAGGAGCAGGAATGGCTCAGCCCACTGCTGCAGCAGGGAGGACACTGATGGATGTATTGTGTCCCCAGGCCTGTGCTCACAAAGCTCCCCAAAACAACCCCAAAGAGAACATGAAGTGCATCAGGCCATGTTCTCTGGGACATTCTCTGAGGGTGTTCTCCTAAAACATGGAAAACACCTGTGAAATGGCAGCCTGAACAAACAGGGAGGTGCCACCCAGGGCTGGCATTGCCCCAAGGACACCCAGAGCTGGGCAGACTCTGGTTCTGCTAAAGCCAGAAGTCTTCAGCTGGAAAAATGCAATGGATTCAATGCTGTGAACCAACTCCAGCTTTCCCAATAAAGGATTGAAAGACAAGCCATGGATGGATTCTAACTCACAGCTCTCAGGAAAAGCAGCGAGAGCTTCTCAGTTTCTGCTGCAGCACTTCTGTGACAAACTGGTGTGAGAAATTGGACCAGGCCTTTTTGAACTCCTCCTCCACTGAGAGAGGCAAGGACTTGTCACATCTCAAAAAGAGATGGCCCCAGAAGCTCTCTGTCACAGAGCAGTAACTCACATGGGAGGTATCCCAGCCCCAAGGGGCTGTTCAAGCTCCCTGTGAGGGGAACAGGCAGCTTTGAGCTAAGACAGAAGAATTCTCTCCCAGATTCCTGCAGGAAGCAGGACTAAGAACAAATTGACACATACAACCCTCTGCTTCCACTGCCACAATCTCTCAGGCTTTTCACCCAGACACATTCCAGACCAGGCTCTCCTGAGACATCTACTTTTCCCTCCTTCCTGGCTGAACCCCCCTCCACCCCACAGAGAAAGGAGAGGAAAAATCTCCCGGATCCAAGAGGATGCATCCCCCAGCAGCCTCCCCCGAGGAGCAGATCTCCAGGATGAGCAGCCCATGGAGGATCCTGGGGCACAGCACCCCATTCCTGCCCACTGGGATTTTAGTTAGGGATGGAAAGTGTTGACAATCCCTTACTCACCACCTTCTCAACACGGCTAGGTAGGACTACGCTGGCCAGAGGGATACTAACAGGGAGTTTATTGGGCTGCACTGTGCTCAGAGGAATACTGATAGGGAGGCTGGTGATAGTTTCTCCATTACTCACAGAGGTTCTCTCTCTCAAAACCTGTAAAATCAAAAGAGAAAGCAAAAATCTTACACAGGATATTGAAAAGGTTTTTAAGGTAATGATAATCTGCTCATTTCTATGTGTGTGTCATAACCTCACTCCTTTTTTTAAGGAATTACAGGACTAGGAGCAATGACTGTACATCACACAGGGCAGGCGTGGAGCAACTTGGTCAGCAGCACCAGGCTCCTGGGACAGCAACATCCCACAGCACAGAAATGTGTAAATTAAAGCCACTGCTGGCCCCAAGCATCAGGAAAAGGCAGCCTTAGGCAAGCTCATTTCCCCGTGTTTTGGTTAGAGCTCTGTGAAAAGCACTCAGATGTCAGATTTTTTATCCTGAGGCCTCTGTAGCAGCCAGATGCATTTCCATGGCAACCTGCTACTGCAGGGCACCTGCTGCTCTGTGAGCCCCAATATGCTCCATGGCTGCACCAATTACATGGACCATATTTTCTACTCTATTTTTATACCTATGAAAGAGCCTCCTTTCCCAGTTCAGGCAGACACGTGCCACATCTAACAGCAGCTCCACTGCATTGCTGGTGCTCAGAGAGGAGCACATCTTCTCCCTCTGACCAGCTCTCATTTATTGCATCACACCCACTGTATTTTGTGCCATTTCCCATGCCAAGCTGGCCCAGAACACAGCATTCCTGCACTCCCCAGCGTGGCCACCCTGCCCTTTGTAGCCCCAGGGGCAGCAGCAGATCCTTCACCTTCTCTCCTGCACTGGGTAAGGCCGCGGGGGAGCAGGGCCGAGTTTCCTGAGGACTCAGCTTTATGCCATTTGCAATTCCAGGGCTTGGATATGTAAGGCCATTCTCTTTGACATGCTCAGCTCTGGAAGAGAGATGTACAATTGTCAGGATACAAAAGCCAGTGACCACACTCAAGGCCTGTCCCATCTTATTTACACACATGAGGAGTTCTACACCCAGCTCACTGTCCCCTCCAAGGAGCACTTGGCTTCTCATCACCCTTCATCTCCAGCAAGGACCTTCCTCCTCCCCAGCCCTTCCAGCATTAAAGCTCAGGATTAAGCCCAGGCTGCTGCACAAAACAGGCACTGCCTGCTGTGCAGAAATCTGCAGGAGGCTCAGCACAGACAAGGGTCATTGTCCCCATCCATCCTGCCTCAAAACATTCCTCAAAATCACTCTTGCCACAAAATATCCCTCAAAAAAATCACACTTTTGTCACAATATATCCCTTTAAATCACTTTTTTTCTCTCTCTTCAACAAAGAATCAGCCCTCTGCCCCACCTTGTTTATCCCATTAGCTCTCACCGCTGGTTTTTGTGTAACAAAACTTTTCAAAACAGATAAACCTCCACTTTGAAAAAATCTTTCCACAATCTAAATTCCCAGTGCTATTCACAGCAGGCAGTGGCCCTCTTCCCCATCCCTCTCACCTCTGGATCTCATTAGCTGTTGCCTTCCCATTGACCCCGTGGTCCTGGTTCAAGTGTCTCCGCAGGGCGATTTTAGCAGGGGAGAACCTGGTGTAGTCAGGGAGGGCCAGGCTGGTCACCTTGTCTGCCTTCCTGCTGCTGTGGTTGGGGGTGCAGGGCACGATGTCTTGGTCCAGGTGGGAGCTGGGGTACTGGGGGGTGTTCTGCTTGGACGAGGGCCGGCTGAAGGCGTGCTGGAGCTCGTAGGGGGTGGCGTGGCCGTTCATGGACAGCTCGGGGCTCATGCCATTCATGTGGGGCATGGGGAACTTGGAGCACTCCAGCTCCAGCTGGAACCTGCCCTGCTCAGCCTCAGGGTCACGGCTCAGGTGGCTTTTGCTGTGCAGCTGCACTGACAGGGGCTCCTCTGAGGGTGTGTAGGACTTGAGCTGCAGCAGCTCCTGCTGCCGCTGACTCTTCTCAAGTTCCACGATGCTGATCTTTAAATGAAGAGGAAAACAAAAATTAAACTTAACAAAACAAAAATTATACTTAGCAATTCGATCACACTATAGAATTTTGCTTCCAAATTCTCTTTTAAATGAAGAAAAGAAAAAAAATTAAAGACTACACTTGACAATTCTATCACATTATGGAGTATTGCTTCCAAATTCTTCTGAATGAAAGTGTCTCTGCTTCTGGGGACAATGCAGAATGAGGGACCCAAAGTTTGAGAAAAAAATTTCTGCTCTAAGCTCAAGACCAAAAGGCCCAGGTGAGGGGAATGGCTCAGAGACCCTGAGAAAGAATATTTCAGATCTTAAAACCAAAAGGAAGATATCTCCAGCTGACAGAGAGAGCGTGGAGTAACTCAGTACTGCAGTCACTCCATGCCAAGGCATCCAGCAAAAGGCTGGAATAACCACTATCACAGAAAGAAAAGCTCTTCACACAAAGGAGTTTAATTTCTCGTCACTATGAGAAATGTCAGACTGGGGGAAATGATTCCCACCCTATTCCTGGCAGTGTCCAAGGCCAGGTTGGACACTGGGATTGGAGCAGCCTGGGACAGTGGAAGGTGTCCCTGCCATGGCAGGGGTGGAACTGGATGAGCTTTAAGGTCCCTTCCAACACAAACCAGTCTTGGATTCTGTGATTCCTGAACTGAGACATGAGAACACACATGAAAATCATCAGCTTGTGGTTTTTAATTATATGTAATGATAAACCATGATTCCTCCTTCCACAGCATCACCACGGAATCAGATCATGGTATCTACTGCCTTTACAAATTAACCACATCCTTGTTTACTAAAACCCTCTAATAGAAAGCTCAATCTCTGTGGGAATAAAAAAAGAATAAACAAAAAAGCAGCACCTGCTTCATCCTTTCCCATCATATTTAATGTAACACCCATAACTTGCCCATTGCCCAAGAGCTACCCCAACCTGGTAAGCCTGCACTTGTTTCTTGCTCTCTACCTGCAGTTCCAAACAGTGCTTTTGCTTCTCAGAAATCTGATTCTTCAAGGCCTGCTTCTCTTTCAGCAAGTTCTCCAGTGACAGTGTTGACCAATCCAGCTTCAGTTCTTCACAGCGAGCCTTCAGCTGCAGGGACACACAGGGACAGGGACAAACAGGTCAAAACACAAACAGGTCAAAACACAAACAGGTCAAAACACAAACAGGTCAAAACACAGCTCTCACCTCTGCACAGTACCCGAGTCCCAGCTGGAAGCAGGAATTTTGAACTGAATGTGCAAGAACCCCTCAGCCCACTGGAACATTCTCCCAGCTTGGGGCTGGGGACTGTGGCAGGAGCTGGCCTGGCTCTTTCTAAAACAGTGTTATCACCCACCCTCACTGCTTCCACATCCAGACATTCCCCTCATCTACCTCCTGAGGGGGCTCAGCCTGGAGAAAAGGAGGCTCAGGGGGGCCCTTGTGGCTCTGCACAACTCCCTGACAGGAGGGGACAGCCGGGGGGGTCGGGCTCTGCTCCCAGGGAACAGGGACAGGAGGAGAGGGAACAGCCTCAGGCTGGGCCAGATTTAGATTGGAGATTTAGGTTTAGATCTTAGGTCGGATAAGGGTAAAATTTCCTCACTGAAAGGGTGGTCAGGCATTGGCACAGGCTGCCAGGGCAGTGGTGGAGTCCCCACCCCTGGCAGTGTTCAGACAACAAGTGGGTGTGACACTTGAGGATGTTTTGGTGACCATGTGCTGGTTGATGGTTGGACTCCATGATCTTACAGGTCATTTCCCACATGAAGAATTCCATGATTCTCGAGGTTTGAGTTACCCAGATGAGCACCACAGGAGTGATGGGGCAGAGCAAGCCCTGCACAACCTCCCTGTCCAGCCAGATCCAGACCCAGTGACATCCAGAGCTGTTTGGGGACACAGCTGAGGCCAGAGCCAGCTGCCACCCCAGGATTTGCTCTGGGGTAAATCGGAGGTAAAAAAAGGACTCCCTGCAGGTTTTCCCCCATCATCCCTCTGTTTCCAAGGACTCTGAGCAGCTGGATGATGTTTCAGGCCCCAGCTCATGCCCTGTCCTCAGCCAAAGGGCAGCACCCCCCGTTCCCAGCCCAGGGGCTGCACCCACCAGCTGCAAGCTCTGGTTCCTGAGTTCACTGTTGTCCTTCTCCAGCTGTTTTGTCTGTTCTTTCAGCTGCTGATTGTGAGCAGAGATTTCCTTCTGGGCCTGGATCAGGTCATTGTACGTCAGAGCTTTAACTCCCAGCTAAAAGGTGAAGGGTGAGATCAGTCAATAAGGTCCTGACACCCTCATTCCTGGTGACTGTCCCATCCCCAAGTGACACTGAGGAGATGTGAGAATTCTGCAGCTCTCAGGACCCTCCCCAGCATTCCCCAAGGCATTGTGTGGCTGCTGGGGGATGACAAGGAAGGACACAAGGACCTTGGAGCTGCTTTCAACTGTAAAACTGGCATTAGGCTTTGCCAGCCAAGAGAACTAGAGAGCAGCCTGTGGAGAGCCCCCCACATTTCCTCCTGGGCTTGGATGGCAGCACAGAGTTTGTTTGAGCAGCAGAGGATGAATCCTTCACCAAGCACACAGCTGTGGTCTGTCCCCTTCCTTGGGCACTGGGCACACAACAATTCCAACAGCAAACACAAAACGACCAGAGAGTGGCACAGATCGAGCCTGATCTGCTGCAAAGCAGAGGCTGAAGACCTGAAACTGCTCTGGTCTGACTTAGCTTGACCAGAAATGTTGGAATGCAGCTGAGTCAGAAGGATCCCCCCAGCACAGAGGTACCTCATCGAGCTTCTGCTGAAACAGGCGTTTGATTTCCTCTTTCTGGGCCTGGCAGTGGGTGAATAACTGCTGGGCTGTCCCCAGCAGCTGAGCATTCTTCTCCTGGAAGAGGGAACAGTGACAAAACACACTTTTAGCACCAGCTGCAGCACGGGCCATCTCAAGGAGGTGTTTGTGGAGCACTTCAGTGAACCTGGGTGCAGGAGAGCTCAGCCAGCCCTGCCCCAGACTCCTGAGAGCCTGGATTTGTTCGGGTGTGATACTGGTGGAGTTAAGTCAGCTGAAAAGAGCTTTTAAGTAGGTTTTTCCTTCTGTATGGTAAAATACAATCAAGGCAGTGTTAAAAACTCATTTCTATCCTCCCAGTGCATCATGAAGCAGCAGCAATAATCACATCCCACAGAGCAGAAATAGAACTGGAAAAGATTATCTGCATGAAATCTGCTCCCAAACTGGGAACTGGCCCTAAATCCCCAGAGCCCCAGTTCAGAGTTTCCCTGTCCAATACTCATGGAAGAGATGCAGTAAATGAAAATACGCTGTGGGGGAGGCAGAAACAAAGTCCTAATAAGCCAAACCAGTTTTCCTACCTGTGCCACTCTCAGCACATTCCCTGCCCAGACCCTGCTGCCTCAATCCATGGCTGTGCACAGCAAAGGGAGGACAGGACTGGCTGAAGAGCCTCACTTACCCAGCCCCAAATGCTGCATTAGTACAATAAGGACAGGGAGCTTTGGGATTATCCTGTTCTCCACCTTGTGCTGCTGAGGCCAAGCAGGGATTGCACAGACTGAGCCACTGCTCCAGGAGAAGTGAGGAACCAGGGCAAAAAGCACCTTGATCCTTTCCAACCTTAATAATTCCAGGACTCCATGACTGATCTTCCAAGGAGGGAGGCAGCAGTGCTGGAAATTCCCCACGTGCAGGAACACACAGAGCTGGCTTGGGCAAACAGTCCCTGCAATGCTAACGGGGCTGCTCAAAAATCATTTCTGTTTTCAACACGAGGCATTCCATTCAGCCTTCCCAGGCACTGCAGGGGCTGACAGCTCCATCTAAGGGCACTCTGGGAAGCAGCAACTGATTTTAAAATCATTATTGCAAAGAGATTTTCATTGTACTTGAAAACCTTCCTGTAAGAGGGAGTTACTGAACAGACCATACCCAGCCCCTCACCCAGCCCAGTTCTGTATTTGTGAAGTCTAATTTGCCATGTAACACTCTATAAAAATATATTTTCATAGTGAATTCCTCATTTTAACATTTAAAAGTGTGGAGCAGCTGCTGGACACCACCACCACGTGATGACTTCTCCACTCTCCTGATTCATTCTCTGTGCAGGGCACACCCCTTGCACGCCATCATTTCATTTGTGCAGGAGACAAGTTCACTTCATGCTGACTTTCCTGACAAGTGCAGAACAAGCAGAAAAATCTGCTGCTTAAGGAAAAATATGAAAGTTCTAAGTGCTGATTGACTGTGAAAGCAAATGGAAATAACCACAGAAAAAGGTTTCCATGAACACCAGATCAGCATCAACCACTTCTCAGAAAGGAATGAGGTGGCACAAGTTAATTTCTCTCCTCTGAAGAGTTCCCAATATGAAGAACACAATAAAAAAGCCCTGTGGGTTTTTTCTGTCACTCTCACAAAGACTATAGAGGGAAGGAAAGCTTCCACAGGGAATGCCAAAAGCTGGACCTGGACAGAATTCCAGGCTGGTTTGGGCTGGAAGGACATTAAAGCTCATCCAGTGGCACCCCTGCCATGGCAGGGACACCTTCAGGTGGGTCATTGGAGGCCAGGTTGGACATTGGGCTTGGAGCAGCCTGGGACAGTGGAAGGTGTCCCTGCCATGGCAGGGGTGGCACTGGATGGGCTTTAATGTCCCTCCCAACTCCAGGGGCAGCCACAGCTGCTCTGGGCACCCTGTGCCAGCCCTGCCCACCCTCCCAGGGAACAATTCCTGCCCAATATCCCATCCAGCCCTGCCCTCTGGCAGTCAAAGCCATTCCCTGTGTCCTGTCCCTCCATCCCTTGTCCCCAGTCCCTCTCCAGCTCTCCTGGAGCCCCTTTAGGCCCTGCAAGGTTTTTACTGGAAGTTCAAGTTCATTGCTGAGCATTATGGGGAAATGCTCCTCCACAGAAGTAGCAGGAACAGATTCTCATCAGGGCTAATTGATACAGCAATGACATTTTTCCTAATTGAGACAAAGCAAGACAAGAAGGTGCTCAGGCAGGAGATCTCCTCCCTCTGCTGGTGGCTCCATGGCAGGAACATCTCACTGCAAGCTCCAGGACTCTCCTTGCCTTTCCATGTTTTCCAGTCCATGATCTGGGACATTTACACTTTGCCCATCAGTGCAATCCAACACATTCTGATTATCAATACCAAGGATGCTGTGCTAAATCCCCACAACTGAACTGTGGTTCATAAAATCCTGGAATTGGTTTGGGTTGGGAGGGACCCATCCCTGGAAGTGTCCAGTGCCAGATTGGACATTGGGTTTGGAGCAGCCTGGGACAGTGGAAGGTGTCCCTGCCATGGCAGGGGTGGCACTGGATGGGCTGGAAGGTCCCTTCCAAGCCAAACCATTCTGGGATTCTGTGATTCTAAATCAGCATGGTCAGCTGGGGGCACAGAGGGATCAGGGGAGGTGCAGCTCTCTCATTGTGCACATTCAAACACACAAAAAGTGAGTTTGCAACAAAATCCCCTGGCAGCTGTTCAGCCTCAGCAGCACTGGTGTATATGCAAACAATCCCCACATCCAAAAACTTCAGAGTCTGGTAATTTTGTTTAGAAATGTTAAAAAGTGAGACCCACCTTTTCCTGCTCCAGTAACTGTTGCAGACTTGCTTTGTACTGAGGAGTTTTCATGTATGCCATGAACTGCATGTACTGGATCTTAAATGAGTCTGTAAAATAAATCAGATGAGGAATTTCAGCAGGGAGCAAATTTCATGTCCCTGTTTACCCCCATTTCCTCCCTGGCCACCTCTCCTCACTTGTCTCTCCCTTGCTTTTGATTTGGACTCTAAATCAGACTGAGCCATTGAGGATGAATTTAAGAACATGCTGAAAATCCCTCTCCTGGCACAAAAGGAACTCTTGGATCCATCAGATCCAATGGAAGCCATGACAACAGATCCCAGGAGGCACAGGAAGGTGCTGGGGGCTGAGGGTGAGTTTGCATGAGCAAAGAGGAGCTGAGTGGTTTTAGTGCTCTGTTAACAGAAATAATAAAAGAAATGAGCTGCAGGAGCCCAGCCCAGCCCTGAGCTCAGCACCCACACAGGGCCTGCTCCTCCTTCTCCCTCCACACACACCAGGAGTTCTACACCCAGCTCACTGTCCCCTCCAAGGAGCACTTGGCTTCTCATCACCCTTCATCTCCAGCAAGGACCTTCCTCCTCCCCAGCCCTTCCAGCATTAAAGCTCAGGATTAAGCCCAGGCTGCTGCACAAAACAGGCACTGCCTGCTGTGCAGAAATCTGCAGGAGGCTCAGCACAGACAAGGGTCATTGTCCCCATCCATCCTGCCACAAAATATCCCCCAAAAAACCACTCTTTTGCCACAAAACATGCCTCAAAAATCACTCTTTTTGCCACAAAATATCCCACAAAAAATCACTCTTTTTGCCACAAAATATTCCTTTAAATCGCTTTTTTCTCTCTCTCTTCAACAAGAAATCAGCCGTAAGTGACACAACAGCAGGAGACACAAGTTAAGGACATCACTGATGCCACACAGACAGGATCATTCTGCCAGATTCCCAGAGCATCCTGCACTGGCTCATGCCCAATGCCCAGAGCCAGAAAAAGCTGGGAGGGGACAAGGAGCAGAAGATTAAAAAAAAAAACCCCTTCAGGTTTTCCCTTAAATCACCTCTTGCACATGAAGTGCATTTTCCAACCACACCTTTGTGCCCTCAGACTCTCAGGCAGGACCTCATCTATCAGCTCTGGGCTCAGCAGAGGAAATGGAGTGATGTTACCCAGGATTAAGAGAATGGCTTCAGTTCAAATAAAGCTATTCCTGACTATCCCTGCTAATCCAGGCCTGCTGCCTGTTGAGAGCTGAAACATCAGAGAACAAAAGCAGAGTAAAACACCAACTTCAGCAGGAGGAGGGACCTTGTGGTGACGCCAAAGGATGTGGGGCAGGCAGGGGAAGGTGGGGAGGGGATAATCCCACTCCTGCCCCATACAAAGCCCCAAAGGGGAGGGGGGCAGGCCAAGGGCAGCCTTACCTAGCAGCTTCTGTAGTGCAGGGGGGGTGGGTGTGACCAGGAGCTGGTTGGACGAATGCCGTTGCACTTTCGGAGGTAGTTGGTAATAGGGGCTATGAGGTGACTTGTAGGCATCTGGAGAGACACAAACACAGCCTCAGTGCTTGGGACAAGGACAGGAGCTTTAGCTCTGAAAACATGGCATTTGTCATGAGATCCAGCAGCTTAGGCCATCAACACACAGCTCCAAACATGTCCACACACTGCTCCGAGCTCTTTGGAAGGGTCTGTGATCCATCCTAAGAGCAGCAGCAGCCACAGCTCAGCCCCAGCTCCCACAGACAGATCCCACCCCCAGCCCCATCAATACATTAATCACCATCAATCACCATTAATCACACCCCCATAGCATCAATACATTAATGCCAGCACCATTAACACATTAATCACCATCAATACATGAATCCCACCCACATCCCCATTAGCACATCCATCACCACCCATCCCATCACCACCACTTCCAGGGCAGCTTTGCTCTGGTGGCAACAGGGAAGTTATGCCACAAAACCAAACTCAACCTGCCAATAAAGGACAAACAAGCATGTCCAGAGCTTAGAGACTTATCCAGGCTCTTCCAGCAGCCCTGCACTCACCCTGAGGAGAGGATGAAGATGTCTGGGAGACAGTCTGAGCATGCAGAAGTTCTAGTGCAGTTTGGTTCTTCTTGGTCTTGCGTTCAGTATTTGCTGTGTTCATTTTCTTGGGGCGTCCTCGTTTCCTCCCTGCCATTTTCCTGCCTTTCTTACTCAGCTTTTTCTTCCTGGCCTTGGAGGGAGATGGCTTTTTAACAGAATTTGCTGCAGCTTTTTCTTCTTCAGCACCAGAATCCTGAGAAATTTTGAAAAACTTTGGTCATTTCTACCTCCATGTGCAGCATTCCTTTTCAGCAAACATCAATAACAGTGTTGAACTTTGTGAAAGGAAACTGATGCATTGCAGTTCCATAACTTGCCAGGGAAGTGGGCTTGCTTGGGATAAGACTTGTTCCCAAGGGGTTGTGCTCATTCTCTTCTAGACTTACTCGTTACAGAAAATGCAATGCTGAGGGAGGGGAACTTCAGGCAGGATTGGGTGGGATATTGGAATTGTTCCCTGGGAGGGTGCCCAGAGCAGCTGTGGCTGCCCCTGGATCCCTGGCAGTGTCCCAGGCCAGGCTGGACATTGGGATTGGAGCAGCCTGGGACAGTGGAAGGTGTCCCTGCCATGGCAGGGGTGGCACTGGATGGGCTCTGAGGTCCCTTCCAGCCAAACTCTCCTGTTTCTGTTCAATCTGTACCTGCTGTCTAACAAAAGCTGATTATTCATCCTTCCCTGACTACATTCTTCAACTGCATCTCACTCAAAACTCAGAGTACAATCAATACTTTACATTTTTGGGCATGAACAGGCACTGCATTTCTCACAGCATTACCCAAGAAAGGAAATGAGTCTTTGCAGTAGAGACTCAGAACACTCTGAGCTCCATTCAGTGGGCTGTGACTCAGGGACAGCTCTGCAAACTCCTGCTGGATGCAAGCGAGGGTGGACAACCAACTATTCATCCTGCAACACCTCTTTTTTTTTTTTTTTTTTTTTTTCCAGAATTAGTTGTGCAGCTCCCAAGTGCAGCTTTTATTAACTCACTCCATCATATTTTTGGGCACAGCAACAGCTAGAGCAGTTTGTGTGCTCAGAGTAAAAGCCAGCAGCCTTCCCACAGAGCCAGGCTTCTCCTGGCTCAGAGCAAGAGCTCAGGCACAGCCCCAGGAAACCCTGAGGGCACAGAAATGCACGATGCTCACCTTGTTTTCTTGGATCTTCGTTGGAGTCGTTGTGTTACTTTTGTTTTCTCTTTGTTGACGACGTCTAGCTGCCTCTTGTTCCTCCTGGGGAGCAGGGATGGGAGATGGCACCATTGGCTCATGGATTCAGCACTTTTGAATTCAGATTACCTTGCTTTCCAGCTTAGTTTTCCACAAGAAAAGGGAGCAAACTTCCCCTTGGCTCAGGCCACACTCAGGTGAGAACAAGTCCATTCCCACCTCCAGAGGGGATTAAATCTCAACCTCTTCCCAAACTCTCCCCTCCCTGCTGGATCCTACACTGCTGGATCAGCTTTCATTTGGACTTTTTAAAATTATTATTATTATCATTATGCATTTCAATAGCTTCTCCACATCCCCAACATTTCATGGTGACACCTTAAAAACCTTCCACAACTGGAAATAGCAAAGCCATTAATCATCATCGAATTCAACTTCAGCCAAGTTTATTGAGGTGACTAATAAAAAACAAAAGCAACAACTTTTCGCTTGATTTTTTCCCAGGCTGACAGGAAATTTCCTTGTTCAGAGAAAATCTCTTTTTCTCTCAGATAAAAAAAAAAATCTTTCAGGCAGGAAATTTCCAAGAGCTCAGTCAAAGCTTTTCCTGCACGTTCCAGGTGAGGTTTTATCTGCATAAAACTTTTGGAAATTCCAGCACTCCTTTGATTTAAGCTATTATCAACCAAATCAGTGGCAGGTTTGAGTGTGAAAAGCAGGGAAGGTCAGAAGCACCCTGACCTTTTTTTTTTTTCACTAAGAAGTCTTTTTTGTCCCAAATTTGAGTGGAGCAATCTGAAATAATTCCCTTTCAGAGCCCCCATGTGTCTGCTCTTACAGAGCCAGTCAGCCTGAGGATGAACATTCACCTGAAGTTTTAAATTAAGTGGCCTCACTTAATTCTCTTCCTGGGAATCCATTGATTATTTCAGGTTAACAGAGCCCTGCACAATCCCAAAAATCCTCTGGCATTTTAATTCCATGTGTAAAAGGCCAGACTGCAGCAAATGACAACTCACTCTGTGCCTGCAATGGCACGTCCCAAAAGGAACATTTCAGAGCATTGCTCAGCTTCATTTCAGGAGCTGAGCACTGGGACAGATTCAAACCATCATTCCCTTCTTTAATTCCAGTTCTTTAATGAAGAAATAGCTCATTACAGACCTCCAGTGCAAGGTAAAAGCACCTTGGGGCTGCCCCATTAATTCTCTATTAGAAATCCCTTGGACATGATTGAATTAATGCTTGATGGCATCTGAGACTTCCCTTCAATTAGCTCCATGTTCTTTGCCTACCAAGAAAATCTGATTTCCTATCAATTGTGTCCACCTGTGATTAAATTCCTCACAGTGGCTGCTCCCTTACTTCGAGTTTTCTACAGAAAATGATTGAAACTTACCCTGAGTTTTGGATTTTTGAGACTAGAAAAATAGTTTTCAAGCTGAAAATAGAAAGAGAAGAGAGTCATCCTCAAAGGCATGACAGATGAACACAGAAGAATAAAATATGAGCTTAAAACAAGTGCAGAACTGCAGAAATTCTGACTGCTTTGCTTCTGATAAGCTACATCAAGAACCATTTACATTTATTTTTTTCAGCCACCCAGCCTGTTGTGTAACAGGGCATAATCCAACCTCTACAAGGTTTTATCATCCCCACCACTGCCTGGCCTTGTTTTAAAGCTTTGTGTCACATATCTCCCCTCAGCAGAGACTGATTTTCAATGAAGTTATTTCCACTGAAGCTGCTGCACCTCGTACTCCACCATTTATCTGCACTCTGGTACATTCCTGAACAAAAGCTTTATTAGACTACAGCAGAGTGAGGAAAACAGCTTTACTATCACACTGCAAAAACCTTGGGGTGGGATAAATTATTTGTCCACAAAATTTTTCATTTCCAACAGGTTTGTTGGGTATTATGGGGGGCTTTTCTTGTGGGGGGTTGGTGGGTTTTTTTTGGGGGGGGGGCTTTTGTTAGGGTTTTTTATTGTTGTTGGTTAGTTTTTGGGTTTTCTGTTTTGTTTTCTTTAATTAAAAAAAAAGTGAATGCATAACCATTGTTATGGAGCTTGGGCTGCTTCTACAGCAGCTGAGAATTTTACTAAAATTGAGATTTACTGGTTGAATATGACTGAATGAAATGGGCTGCAGCACAGAAGAACAAAAGCCCCACTGAGTCTTTCCTCTGTGAGGAAATTAGAGCAGACCTCAATTCTGAGGAGCTGTAGAAGGAATTTTATCAGTGAATCTCTGCAGTTTCAGTAAATCAACCCTGCCCTTAACCCCAGGGTGTGTGGAACCCTGGAGCAGCCAGAGGGGGCTTGCACACTCAGGTTTGTAAATCCACAAAGGGACAAGAACACAAGGCCCAGGGAGAAGGATCTGGAGCTGGGAAATGCTGCCCTAAAGCAGCCAGAGAGGGCTGCAAACTCAGGTGTGTAAATGCACAAAGGGGCACAAACACAAGTGCAAAGCAGAAGGATCTGGGGCTGGGCAATGGTGCCTGGAGCAGCCAGAGGGGTTTGCACACTCAGGTGTGTAAATCCATAAAGGGACAGGAACACAAGTCCCAGGCAGAGGGATCCAGAGCTGGAAAATGCTGCTCTGGAGCAGGGCAGAGGGGTTTTCCACATTCAGGTGTGTAAATGCACAAAGGGACACAAACACAAGTGCTAAGCAGAAGGATCTGGGGCTGGGAATCGCTGCCCTGGAGCAGCCAGAGGGGTTTGCACACTCAGGTGTGTAAATGCACAAAGGGACAGGAGCACAGGTGCAAAGCAGAAGGATGTGGGGCTGGGCAGTGGTGCCTGGAGCAGGGCAGAGGCTCCTGGCCCCATGGCAGCCCTGGTACTCACTATGGTTCTGTCAATGGTGTGCAGGTAGTAGGAGACTGGTTTCCCCGTCCAGGACACGGAGCCCTTCAGTGGTGACAGCTCCACAACCCTCATGATAGTGCCAATATCTGTGGGAGGAGAGGGAAAGCTCAGCTCAGAGCAGCCAGGCACCAACACAGAAATGTGGTTTGCAGATCCTACAGGAAAACATTGCTGGCAGTTTGGAGGGAATTTCTTCCTGTCCTGCTACGTGCACCCCACAGGAAGCAAACATGTGGGACATGAACCTTGCAGCCAGGCAGCCCAGAGTGAGCTCCTCACTTCTGGCCAACAGAGCTGTGTCCCACACGACTTTTCCAAGGAACAACACATGTGTGTGACAGCACTGAACTGAACAGTCCCAGAATGGCACCAGCCCAGCCCCTGTCAGCTGCAGCTGCCCCACATTTGGACTGGGCACAAACATGGTTTGGGTTTGTTTTCTTGTCTATATTTGTTTTGTTCTCCAGGATTAATAGCTATGGGATGTGCCTTTAACATTCTCACAACCACTGAGTGAGTGGCAGGGCTGCAGGAGAAATTATGGGACGTTTCTAATTAAACACAAATAACACAGAAGAGGCCAAAAGCAAGGTTTGGGACTCAGCAACCTCAACCACTATTTTAACCACATTTTAGTACTTGTTTTCATTTGTCCCAACTCTTTCCACATTTCCACTTCTTCCTACAGATGGAACTACTAAGGACAAAAGTGGTGTTGAGGGAACTGGTGCCTCCTTCTTAAAGCTTGATCTTTTCCAGTGTTTTGTATAAATTATTGAAGTGCTCACACTCAACATCAGAGTATTTGACAGACAGGTGAGACATGACTCAAGTCATGCTCAGGCACCAAAAAAAAGCCTTAATGAATAAAAGTATTATGAAAAACCTTGTGGGGCAGCACAAAGGCAGCACAGCAGTGCCATTCCCTGTTCCATGTGCAGGATATTGGCCATGGATGGCATTTCCCTGGAAGTGTCACTTGGAACAGGCCACTGGAACAAGCCCCAGGCCCAGCACATCCCACACAAGCTCATTTGATGTTGATATTTCCCAAACATAATATGGTCTCAGAAAAAGATTAAGCCCTCAAATTTATTCACACAATTCTCCCTGTTAGTAGAATGCAAAGGTAATATTTTTTCATGGCTTTTTATCTGAATCCCTGGAAGTTTCTTATTGATGGAAGCTGTTGGCTCTCCTTTTGCTAAATCTCTCACCCATCCAAACCCCAATTAATCATTCCAATATAATTTTAACATCAGCATTTCCATTCAGGATTAAATATCAGCTGGGATCTGAGACTTCAGCATTCTAGAAAACATTTCCAATGAACCCATGCTGGGGTGAGAACTGGATGGGATGAAGATCTGGCTCCACTGGCAGTCACAGGCAGGGCTGTTCTGAGGTGAAAGAGCAGCACATGCTGGCCTCAGCCTCCCAAATGGAGCAGAGACAGAAGGGAATGGGAAGAATGCAGGAAAGAAAAGGCTTGAGAGGCCAAAGCCCTGTATTTTAGTGGGCAGGTTTAATTGAAACCTCCCCAAGTGCATTCTTGAATTTCCTCAAGCTCTGGTGGGTTCTGGAGGGCCCAAGCTTTGCCTCATTAGCAAACTGACAGCCTGATCCCAGCTCTCTCAAGGCTTGAGGGGCTCCAGGAGCACCATTCCACCGTTTTTCCCTTTTATTTTCAAGTCCAGGTCTCCAAAGACTTGGCAGTCCACCACCCAAAGATCAGTAGGGTTCCAAACCACCAGAGGCCCCAGAACAGAATTTCAAACAAGGAAGAAAAGTGCAGGTTTGGGTACCTCATGTGTGGGACATCCACAAGAATTTCAGCTTAAAAATAACTCCCAAAGGCAAAATTTACTTCATGACACTCCAAAAATTACTATTCTGCAAAAGCACTTTAGGCCAAAATTAGACAGCACAGCTTGAGATTTGGAACTCAGTGAGTTGCTCCCCACGTTTGCACAGGGAGGGAATGAGGGGGATTTAATTTAGGGAAAATTTAGCACTGGAAACAGCAAATACATGTAAAGCCCAGCTTGGACTGCTCTTTTGCTTGAGAAATTTCATAGAGTAATCTGAACTGGAAGGAACCTACAAAGAATGTCAGTCCAACTTCTGCACAGACACCCCAGTTTCAACAATAAAAGTCTGAAAAAGGTCAAAAGCATAACCAACACCATGGAATGTCCCAAAACCTCCTTAAACTGCAGCTCATGGCCTTGACAATGCTGCCAAACATCAAGTCTGGCGTGTTCAGAGCAGAAGGAAAACACGACCCTGTGTTGGCAATAAACCAGTCCCAGGGCCTGGGTGTGTCTGGGAGAGGTTTGTTTGCTCAATGCACAGCACAGGAGATGTTCAAAGTGGGACATTTCACAGAATCCTGGAATGCTTTGGGTTGGGAGAGACCTCAGAGCCCATCCAGTGCCACCCCTGCCATGGCAGGGACACCTTCCACTGTCCCAGGCTGCTCCAATCCCAATGTCCAACCTGGCCTGGGACACTGCCAGGGATCCAGGGGCAGCCACAGCTGCTCTGGGCACCCTGTGCCAGCCCTGCCCACCCTCCCAGGAAACAATTCCTGCCCAATATCCCATCCAGCCCTGCCCTCTGGCAGTCGAAGCCATTCCCTGTGTCCTGTCCCTCCATGCCTTGTCCCCAGTCCCTCTCCAGCTCTCCTGGAGCCCCTTTAGGCCCTGCAAGGGGCTCTCAGCTCTCCCTGGATCCTTCTCCTCTCCAGGTGAGCACCCCCAGCTCTCCCTGAACCTCTAAGCCTCAGGAATCCTGACTGGTGGGATTTACCTGCCTGGATTTAGGGTGTAAGGAACTCCCCTGTGAGTCACAGCAGCTCTTTTCAATCACCCTTGAACTCCTGATTTCTCTTCAGCTCTAAAGTTGCCCAGCCAGGGACACATTGATGGAACCAACAGCAAAACACAGCAGCACAAACCCCATAAAAAGTGTCTGCTCCTCTCTTGGGTGGGGTTTTTTAGATTGATTTTAGGTACCTGTCACTTGATGTGCCCTAATAATCCAACTGCATTTTCTACTTGAACAAATCTTAACAGCAGTAACACCCCCCAGACATTTTCAGATAATGAATATCCACAACTGTAATGAACAATAAAAAGGGCAATCATACCACTCAAGTTTCGACTGTTAATTCTAAAATTTAGAGGTGCAAAAGGTTTTGAGGACACAATTCTCCCACCTGGAAAAAGGAGAAAAAAAAAAAAAAGAGCACAGTCAGCTCTATTATTTGTTCTAGAAGTAACTACTTATTAAATATAACCCAGTACAGAGCCCTAAAGAGCAGTCCTATAAAACTGCCCCTTGTATAGCATTAAAAAGGAAATAAATCCCTTAATTCTCATTCTGACAGCCCCAAGAAAGCCAATCTATGATTCCTGCCAGGTGACACCTCAAGGATTGCTTTAAAATGACAGATTTGAAACACATGGGGAAAAAAAGAGCATGTTAATTCTCAGTGGCAATCTAAAGAAATTTCAATTATCTCCTTCCTACTTGGGATCTTTTATACACAAGCCCCCAAAGCCCTTTTATTTAGAGGCCACTAATCTCCATTTCATGGGTATTTGGGGTCATTGAGCAGAGCCTGAAGCACAGTCTGGAAAGAGGAATCAGATCTCATCATTGCAAAGGATTTTTGAACCATCCCCACCTTCCCACTGCTCTCAAGCCACCATTAAACAAGTTTGAAAACTAAAATATAATCCAGTTAAATTAAAGAAAACAGCTTAAGTTTTGGGGTTTTATGGTTTGCAGCAGAGTCCAAAAGTCACATTACTTATTTCAGCACAAAGCTGTGCCATGGGAAGTCACAGCTGCTTTGTTCACACCACACATTTTTCTTTTCAGAAATTGTTATTTCTGTCATTTCTGCCACAACCAAGCAAAACTGTTACTTGTCCCAGTGGCTAAGAGCAAAGAAAAGACACCCAGGGCAAAGGGGAGACCATGATGGGGTTAGTGGTGTCCCCAGGCTGCACTGTGGCTTCTCAGGAGCACCCAGTGGCAGTGGCCCTGTTTTTATGGAATTGTGGAACCATTAAGGTTGGAAAGGACTTCAAAGACCATCAAGTCCAACCATCAAGCAGCAGCACCACCATGCTCACCACTAAACCCTGTCCCCAGGGCCACATCCCCAGAGGTCTGGAGCATTTCCAGGGATGGGGACTCCAGCATGAAGAGCCAGCACTGAGTGTGACAGCTCTGAGCAGGACAAGGCAGGAAGTGAATTCTGTGTGGAATTACAGACTGGCCTTCCAAAGCTGTGCCTCTGCAGTCAAGAATCATGGAATGCTTTGGGTTGGAAGGACTTTAGAGCTCACCCAGTGCCACCCTCTGCCAGGGACACCTCCCACTGTCCCAGGCTGCTCCAGGCTCTGTCCAGCCTGGCCTTGGGCACTTCCAGGGATCCAGGAAGTTTGGCCTTGGCTGTTTTGTGGGCTCCCAAATGAGAGAAGGACAGACCAGCAGCTCCTCCCACCCCAATCCTGCTCCAGTGTCCCCAGCAGAGGGGATGCTCCAAGGAGCCAGGCAGGTCTGGGCACACACAAAGGTGGAGAATCCCACTGTGGTGCAGACACTTGGCCCCAAGGCACAGAACAAAGCCCAGGGCCTGGCTTTGCCAGCTGGAACTGAGCCCCTCTCCCACCCCAGCTCCCACAGGAATCAGGAAACCCAGTGAAAAGCATTTCCAGTGTGAGTTACCTTCCTTCATGTTGGCAAAGCGCTCCTTCAGCTGGTGATCCACCTCAGGCCCGAAGGCAAAGTTATTCACAAAAATAACACTGCAAAGCAAGGATCCAGTTAGAGCCAGGAACACCCCACAGGGACCCCCAGTCACACCACAGCCACCTGGAGCCTTCCCAGCCATGGACAAACCTGATTGTCCCCACCTCTACAGCTCCTGCAACCCAGCACATGGAGAGCAACACTCAGCACTTCAGCCCTTTGATGGAGACTTGAAATATTACAGCAAAATATCAAAATGTATTTTAGAATCATAAAATGGTTTGGGTTGGGAGGAACCTTAAAGCTCATCCAGAGCCACCTCTGCCATGGCAGGGACACCTTCCACTGTCCCAGGCTGCTCCAAGCCCCAATGTCCAACCTGGCCTGGGACACTGCCAGGGATCCAGGGGCAGCCACAGCTGCTCTGGGCAATCTGTTTCTCTTCCAGCTCCAAATTCCTGGTAATGCCAGAAGACAGTGACATCTTAGCACATCTTCCCTGTCCTAAACCCAGCACTTCAGCCCTACCCACAACACAGGAGTTGCAGCTTTTTCTGGGTTAGGAATTTCAATGAGGGGAGGAGGGTGTTCCTGGAAAAAAACAATCATATGGAAACAAAGAAATCTGCACAGAGGTAGAATCTCACAAATGATTAAAGGGCTTGGGAAAGAAACAGAACATGCCACAGAGTAAAAAAGAAACACTCCTTTAGTTTAAGGTCTAATCAGCCTGGTGCTCATTTATTACCAGGCTGCAAAAAGAGTCCTCAACACCTCTTGGCTGAGCTCCCTGCTGAATGAACATGTCAGGGCTTGGCATGGAGCTCAGGGAAAGGTTCTTCCCCCCGAGGGTGCTGGGCACTGCCCAGGCTCCCCAGGGAATGGTCCCGGCCCCAAGGCTGCCAGAGCTCCAGGAGCGTTTGGACAGCGCTCTCAGGGATGCTCAGGGTGGGATTGTTGGGGGGTCTCTGCAGGGACAGGGGCTGGACTGGATGATCCTTGGGGGTCCCTTTCCACTCAGGATATTCCAGGATTCTATGAAGTGTAAAAGCCATCCTGGCCTATTGTTCCCACATGAAGAACAGATTTCTTTTCTGGAAAACTCCCTTCCCAGTGCCTCCACACATGAAACGTGTTCAACAAGGACACAGAGTTTAAGAGCAGCAGTCAAAGCTATTAAAAACCACGAATGAAAAAAATGTTTATGCACCAAGGGAAAAAAAAAATTATTCTTGCTACGCCTTGCTCTTGGAAATTTGGGAAACCCTGCCTGGCAAGTAAAGCTAGCAGGGGTTTCTTCCTCCTCTTTCTCATGTGCCAAAAAAAAAAGACCTTGCAAAAGAGCCAAACATATTAATGGGACTAGAAAATATCCAGGAGAGGAAGGGAAAAAGCCAGAGCCTGCAGATGTGTTTTTATAGTGTTCACTCTGGCACAGAATCCTGTGCATGCAGGGCACAGGAACCCTGAATCCCCCTTGGGCTCAGCCCTCATTCCAGGAGGTTTTGCCAAGCCACAGACACAGGGATCCCCTGGAATAAATACACAGGGAGCCATGTCCTGGTACCAGCCCCATCCCTGCAAGTGTCCAAGGCCAGACTGAACAGGGCCTGAGATCCAGGAACATGTCCCTGCCCATGAGAGGTGGCACTGGATGAAATTTAAGGTCCCTTCCAACCCAAACCATTCCAGAATTCCCCAATCCTGCACCCCAGCAAGGTGGAGCAGCACTGAGACACACAGTGAGTGCCATGCCACACAAACCAAACATCTCCCAGCACTTCTGGGTGCAGTCCTGCACAGCTCCTGCAGCCAAAAATTTCTCTAAAAATTGAAATTAATTCCGAGGAAAGTTGCCCAGGCAGCAGAGGAGTGTGCACTTGGAATAACAAGCACCAAAGCCAAACCCAAGTGTGCTGCAAGGCTGGGACCAGTCTGTCCACAAATTAAAAGGCACCTCCAGAAGAAAGTGAGGGACAGAATCCTGCAGGATCACCAGCCTGGCAGACGCCTCCTCCAGCCTCTCAAAACCAGAGCTTTGGGAGCAATCCAGAAATTGCCACAACTCTGAAGGCTTTCAGAGCTCCCTTTGACAACTGCCTTCCATTCCCCCACATAACAGGGTGGCCCAGAAGGTCATATAAAAATAAAGAGGTTTTTTTCTACCCATAAGGCTGAAAGAATGCAAAGCTTTAAAAATACAGACGACTTTTATTGCTTTTAACAAATTTACTCCCTTTCTGCTCCTTCAGAAAGGAACCCAACCCTCTGGTGCAGTTCTCCACATAAATAAATCTTCAAGACAATTAGTTTAAATGAACTTTCAATTTAAGTTGAAATAAACTCACTTGGGTCTTTTCCTTTTTATTAGAAAGTGAGCCTGTGTGCCCCAATAGCCAAAAGAATTAGTGTTTTGCCAGAATCCCTGACACAAACTACAGGGATATGTAAAACAAATGAAGATTTGTGCTCCTCTTATAAACCAGAATTTATCTTGGATACACCCTTGTATGGAATATCATGGGACATGCACTCAAAGCCATTCTTCTAGTCAGAAAACAGGATCTTAAGAGGCCAGTGTAAGAGTTGGCAGATGGACTTTGGGTATTTGCTATGGAAATTCTATATAAAAAGCTGGCCAGCCTCCCAATTTCCATTATACAAACTCCCAAATATCCAGCTCAGAAAGCAGCATTCAGTTGCTGTACTGTACCTTGTGTTTGCAATCCTCTCTCTCCATTCTTCTGAGAGGAAGTCACCTCTTTCCAGCTTCAAACAAGACAAAGAACACAGAAACACAGAGGGGTTAACAGGGTTCCCTCCTGCTCCCTTCAGAGAGGGACAAAGGCTGCTCCAGCTCCCTGATCCCACAACGTGGGACAAAGGAAACCTTTTGGAAACCCAGGGGTGGAGCAGGGACAGCTGACCCTGCTCATTCCTCACATCCCAGAGGTTTCTCCCTCCCTGCTCCCACCCTTGGGAAGAACAGGGAAGGGGCTCTGGCTGCTCCATGGAGAAGCCAGAAGTGCTGGCACTCATTGCAAAACTGAGCAGCAAATGCCCCCTGAAGGCCCCCAGGGCTGGTGATCCCCCCTCAGCAGAGGGAGCTGAGCATGGATTGGGAACAGCTCCTGCTGGGAGCCCTGGTCTCAATTCAGGCTCCTGCTGCACTGCACAAACAAGAATCTGATTGTTGTGGTGCTAAATATAAACCCTGAGCACTTCTAACACTTTCAAGTTGGAAATGAAGTAACATAAAGGCCTTGTTTGAAAAGAAATACAGTTATGACTTCAGTGGCTCGTGAAGCACCTTTCTGATGACACCACATCAAGTCCCAGGTGAGCACAGAGCTCATGCACACACTGATGTTTTCTCAGTTGTGTTTTGGGAATGAGAGAAGAGCCCATGGGCCACACACTCTTCTGCTGTGCCACAAGTCAGGCAGGAGGGTTGGAGGACAAAGATAGGAGGAGAGAAGAAATGAGGTGTAGCTCTGTAATGAATGCTGCTGACACCCTTTGAAGATGATGGTTTGTGCCAGAACCTCAGGAACACCAAAGCAAGGCAGTGACTGCTGAGGATCCTTTTCCTGCACTGATTTCTCTGTATGGGAAGGAGTGAGGATTTCACATGGCAGCACTAATTCTCCTTTGTGACAACTCCAAAGTGCCAGCACTGCAGTGCAGGCACTGGAACAGCTTCCATCCCCCAGGGCTGCCTCAGCCTGGGAACATCCAAAGGGAGCTCCAGGGCCTGGTGGCACTCAGGGACACAGAGGAGGTGACAAACCTGCCTGAGCCACCGTGAAGGACAAAGCCACAGGTGCCAACAGGAATGGGGCTGCTCCCAGGAGGAAAGAAAGGGGGAAAGCACCAAAATGTCCTGCTGCTCCACAAGAGGGCTGAGAAAAGTGGACAGAGCTCTTGGGCAAGAGACCAAGAACTTTGTCAAGAGCTTTAAATGCTAGAAACTGAGCAGAGCAGGTAAGATTAGCTCAAGTTATTGAGAAATACCTGTTCCACCAGGTGGGCTGAAATCAGAGTTAAACCAGAATAATTACCACCTGTGATCTCCCACCTGCTGGGAGGGGAAGCACCTTTGACATCCCTGCTGTAATAAAAACAAAGGATAAACTGGAAGCTGAACTCAAAGATCCAACCCAAGGACATCTTGCTGGGCACTGTCAGAGTCCAAACCAGAGACTTAACATCAAAAAGAGTTCTAGGAAGAGTTTTCCTCATCTCATATAAGGAAAGATTTTTTCTGGATGTCTATATGTGGACACCATCTCTAGACTGATTTTAAGAGGTAATTTTGTCTCAGCCTTATCTTTTCTTGTAGTGAACAGTTCCATGGTTGAGTAACCAAGGCAAAGTCAAAGAAAACCCACATGACAGGCAACTCTGTTTATTTTATAACCATTTTTGCAAGTCAGCTTCTCTATGGCATCCTCCACACCAAAAGTTTCTGAAATCTCCACAGGGTTTTCCTACACTAACAGGGAAAGAAAAACATTGGGAAAACCAGGAACCACAAACACCACAGTGTGCAAGGGAACAGAGAACCAGTGTAACATGAAACGATTTTGAAATGCTAAACTTCATATAAAGGTCTTGAAATCCAACCTAAGTGGCTGTTAGGCCTCACTTGGGTCCAGTTTCACTGTGTGTTTGCCCTGTCTATGTGGTTAGAACAGCACTTATAACCAAAATCTCCAGGTTTTAACCTGATATCACCCATGGAAGATGAATACTTTGCAAGCCAGAGCCATTTAACAATTCAAATGAACCACAGCCCAGCTTAAACACATCTATTTTTGTGTGGCTCTGCTTCCCCAGCTCCTGCTTAGCCAAGAATCAAGGGAAAACTTCACCAGGAAAAACACTGGAGTACAGAAATAATCAGATTACTAACTGTGGCTGGGAGAAATGGGTTATTTTTTTCCTCTGGAAGCAAGGGAGTGATTCCTGGATGCTCACCTCTAACAGAGACTGAGCTGCCTGACCCCTGCAAGCAGCTCCTCACCCCCTGTGCTGGGGCAGTGATCAATAAAAGGAACTCTTTACCCATCAACTGACACTGAGAATCCCAAAAAAATCTCCCCAAAATCCCACTCAGCTCGGTGGTTTGCAGTAATTTTGAGAGTGAAAGAAGAACTGGGAAGTTCTGATGAATCCCTGCCCCAGGGCAGCAGCTGCTGAACCAGCAGAACTGGTCCATGCTGGTCACTCAGGGACAAGGGGACACATCCACAGTGACAGCCACAGGGCCACACTCAATCTCTTCCTCCACTGTCCCCTCCCTCATCCTGTTCCTCCTCTCCCAGAAACCTAATCTCCTTAGTGAATAATGAATGGAAGGGACCATCTGTAACACAGATATTTTCATCTGATTAGACAATGCAGGAGATGCTTTATCTAACAGGATAATTAGCTCAGCAAAATCGCCTCCAGAGCTGCTGCCTGCATTGCTTCTAAATTTAGAAGCCAGACCAGGTTTTTATTCAGGTTTTTCAAACAGACACTGCAGGAATACACGCAGCAGCATCTGATTCCTGTAATTCTTCCTGCAACTGGATGGAAAGCAGCAGGTCCCAGCCCAGGGGAGGCAGCCAGAGGTACACAGAGGGTGTGAGTTCATCACGGAGCAGAGCAGGGATGTGGGGAGGTCAGGCCCCTGTGCTGTGGAGGAGGGCTGGATTGTCACCCCAGTGCTGGGCAGGGAGGCCTCTGCTAACTCCACAGAGCCATCAATTCACAGGCAGGATCCTCATTCCAGCCGCCTCCGTGCAAACACTTGGCTCCCAAAAACCCAGCATTTCTGCCTGGAAAAGTACACATGGCTATTTTTAGGTCCCTGTTCTTTTCAAAAATAACCAGAGGCACGAATCCAAACCTCTAAAATGTGGCATCATTTCAAAGCCACAGGGGACGTTTGGAGGGCTTTTCAAATGCCAAAACAGCAAATTTCCTGCTGAAATGGGGCAGTGCAAATACCGGGGGGCAAACAGCTGGGGGCAAACAGCTGGGGGCAAACAAACAGCTGGCTCATCCTTCCCTGAGAGCACTCCCGGCAGGAAGCTCTGAGGTACAGGTGATGTCAGGCACCGTCACAAAGCAGCTGCTGGGCACTGGAACTCCCACACAACTGCCTGCCCTGCTCAGAACAGGAAAAGCAGGCAGAAAGGCAGCCCAGATTCAGGGAGACACCTGCAAGCCACAGAGCCAGGCTGGCACTGATCCATGCCCAAAAATCACCCCTGAGCCTCAGGGCTGAACCACCTCCAGCCACCAGAAGCTCCTGGGGTTTCCTGGGAGCAGACAGAGGCCTCCATGCAGCCCAAATCCCACCTTGAGGAATGCTGAGCTGCTTCCTGCTCTTGGTGTGATAGTCATTGCCACCTCCTGCTAAAGGAAGCTTTTATGGAGAGCAGGGCAGGAATTCTGTTATAACAACCCTGAGTAAATAAACACAAAACTAATCCTGGTTCTCAGCAGAGTCCAAAGTGGGACTGCACCCACTGCCAGCTGCCCTGAGCTCAGCCTGGGATCCTTCAAGTTGTGCTTATTTTGTCTCCAATATTTGGAATTTTGGGACCTCACAAAGCATTTTGCAGGGACAAAGCTGTTTTCCAGAAAGACAAAGATGCCTGGCTTTCCATTCCACATCTTCCTGTGTCCTCCAGGCCCATCATGAGCAAGTCTGCTCTGTGTTTAACAGTCACCTACAGGTCCCAGGCACTGAGAACTCAACAAAACCCCAAAAATACTGAAAACTTTCTCCAAGGGGAGCCCAGGAAGAGAAGCACTTTGTGCTGCTCAGCAATCCCAGCCTCCTGCCCCAGATACCTGAGCTGGCTCCAATTCTGAGGCCACATGAGGATATTTACTGTTAGAAACCATGAAAACCCATCTGCCTCTTAATTGCCATGCTGGGTTTTTAATTTGATGGCTGCACATATGCAGGAATTCCCCAAGAAAGACTCTCTAATTAGCCAGGCCTAATGACCTTCCCAAAATCTCCTGCTTCCTTCAGACAAGTTTACTCGAAGAGTGGGGTAAAGTTAATCTTGGAAACTTCTCAGTTCCATGGGAAGAGAAAGCAGCAGATAACAGGAGCTGGCACAGAGGCTGGAAGTGAGACATTCTAGTCCAAAAAGCTGAAGCAGATGATGATGATGAAAAGCTCTAGGGGAGGAAGATCCTTTCCTTGGAATGCAGGAGACAAGAGCAGCAAAGAATCTGATTTTCCCCAAATAAGCAGGAATTGCACATTCCCAAGCAGAGCAGGGGATGTAAATATTCATTTAAGAGGATTATGAGACTCAGTGACCAACAACACCTGGAGATCAGGAGCCCTCAAGGCAAAAGCACGAGGAGCAAATTCCTGCCACTCCTCTCATGCCCCACCTGGATTTTCCCCCTCTCCAGCTGCAGGGATGATCCAGCTGTGGCTCTGCAGCCTTGGGCATCCAACACCCCCAGGACACTTTGCCACCTGCAGCTGGGGAAGTTCAATGTGCTTTCATCACCAAGTGACTACAGAACAACTGAGGCTGCAATTTTGTGTGGAAACATTGCTCAAGAGGGATTTTTTTTATATAATTGTGGACAAAATAGGGTCGAAATACACCTGGAAAATCAGGGTTTATTTTACATGTTGGCACTGGGCCTTGCTCTCCAGAATTCAAGTCCAAGCTCAGTACTTCCAGCAGAAACAAGAACAATCCAATGGGGAAGGCCAGAAGGTGAATTTGAAGGCTGCAGAACAATTTGGTGAGGTAACAGTGTCTGCCCTTCTGTCCAAGGGTTCTCAAACATAAGTTTATTTTTTGGAGAATTTTGAGGGTTGTTTGTTTGTTTGTTTACATTCCTAAAAACTTTCTTTTAATGGTAATCTGAAAAAATCCTGTTGGGAGGATTTGGGGCAGGTTACAAAAACATCAAGAGGTTCTGAGTCCCTTGGACTGCTGCAAAAGGCAAAAAGGATAGAAAATATTTCTCATTAAGATTGTACCAGGTGGGAAGGCTGGAGATGGTGAAAAGCTACAGATTTAATAATTTCCCAAGTAAGAAGGAACTGTTGAGGTGCACAAACCCAAACAAGCATGGAACACACTGCTAAAGGCAACTTTTCAGCAGATCACTTTCCAGGGAGAGCTCAAAATCCATTTGAATTGGAAATCTCTAACTGTACTGGGATCTTGGCTGTTAAACTAACCCAAAAACCCAGCTCCAGGATTTATTGCTGCCTTATGTATCACAGTTTTTAATTTTACAGCAAGACAGAGCCACCATCCACAAAGTTCAGGCAGAGCTGCAGGTGGGATCTGAGATTCTTCCCACTGAACTCCTGCCAAGCCCTCCCCTCCTCCAGCACTTCATTCTTCTCAAAACACTGATTTTTCATATGACTGCCTGTAACACTGCAGTGGAATTCACCAGTTGAGCTCTGCTGATGACAGATTATTTCAATTTGTGCTTATTTTGTCTCCAACATTTGGAATTTTGGGACCTCACAAAGCATTTTGCAGGGACAAAGCTGTTTTCCAGAAAGACAAAGATGCTGGGCTTCCCATTCCACATCTTCCTGTGTCCTCCAGCTGCATCATGAGCAAGTCTGCTCTGTGTTTAACAGTCACCTACAGCAGATGCTGCTAAGGAGTTCCTAAAGAAAATAAACTGCCTGGTAAAAGCTGTTTGATGAATAAAAACTAAATAAAATCTGCCCTGTGTATCTACTGTAAAAGCCCAAAATCGGTGTTCAAGCATCACTCCAAGGTGACAGGAAACCAACTTTCCTTCAGTCAAGAAGTGCTGCAAGTGTTTAACTCTTCCCAAAAAAAAAAAAACCCAGAGTGCATATTCAGGGAAATTTTACTCTAAACACTGCAGAAAACAGAGTTATAAAAGCCAAAGAACCTGGCAAAAATAAATAGCTTTGTTTCAATATAGCACCAGACTCTGTCACTTGGAATGCTCAATATGGAAATGCTGCCTAAGGCAAGCAATATGCTTCCAATATTTTAGTCCAAGTTCCTCTCCTATTCCTTAAATTACCCAGCTCAGAAGCAGAGCATCCTCAGGAACAACTCCTTTCATGTCATGCCAGCTGAGTGACACAATGGAAAAATGCCATATGGCCACTTCAGGAAAAGTAAAGCATTCCCAGTGCTTCCACAGCAGGAAGGAATTATCAATCCTGCTGCAGACCAGTCCCCCAACATCCCCTGGAAGGGAATTCTTCTATCTAGGCCAGGAATTCCAGGAGGGAAGTGTTAGGGGCAGGTGGGACCATCACCTTCTCAAAGGGAGAGCTGGAGCAGCTTCACTACAGCAGGAGGGCACCCAGGATCCCAGCAGACAGAAAATTGGGAAATAAAGGCTGGTCAGCTCCAGCCTGCCATTGATCCCTCAGTGCTGAAGCCACGGGGGTCACACCGTGCCAGGGACATGGCAGGGCTGGCTCTGCACACCAGGGAAGGGAAGGAGCAGTTCTCCAGTCCTTGCTCACACCTGGATGCAGGGCACGTGGCCCCAGCTGCCACCTCTGAGCAGTGACCCAGCTTCCCTGGGATATTTGGGAATATCCCTGATCCACTCATGACCATAAGTGGCAGAAGCAGAAATAGATGTGTTTTCAAAACTCCCAGTGGGTCCCTATTGTACATCCATTTCCTGACTGAAAGTGATTAAGCAGGGAGCAGATTTTCTTAATGACAATTACAAAGGGGAAGAAAGGGAAAAGGGAAGGAATGGAACAGGACAGTGCATGGATTTGCAGGTCTCACACCATCCTAGGAGTGCAAAACATCCTCAGACATAAATAAACATCAGGAGGAAGATAAAGGAATTCCAACACAACCCTTGCCACGGGCAGGAAGATCCCCCATGATGACCCCTTTACTCCTCCAGCTCCAGCTCCACCCTCAGAGCACCCAATTCCAAACCCTTCCAAACCAGAACTAACCTCCCACCACCCTCCCCTAAGAACCACTCAGCCTGACAACTGCTCCTGGAACTTCCTGCTCCAATCTCCATCCATCCAGAACCTCCCCATCCCCTCCAGAACTGGATCCAGGTGGCCACACCTTCCCCTGCCTGCAGAACTAAAGCTTCAGCCTTTTTTTCCAGCAGCAGAGTGCAGAACCCCAAGGAGGAGCTGCCACATCTGGCAAAAACCCCAGTCCATGGAGAGAGGGAGGGAAAAAGGGAAAGGGGATTTAACACAAACAGAAAACTCATGGCAGCCCCAGTCAGAAGAACGTTTTAGAACAATAAATCTTCCAAGAGTTTCTGGAAAGACCTGGAAGTGCTCCCAATAACACCATGCCCCATATCAGGCAAGACAAAGAGAGGGGTCTGGGAGGATATGTTGGAACCACCATGCCCAGGATCAAGACAAGAGGAAGGAAGCAGCTGTGGCTCAACTGCTGGTGGCTGAGAACAGGCTGGAGGGGACTTTACAAACTCTGCAAGTGAGTGTGGATCCCGATGTGCAGCTGAGTTTCACTCACTGTGTATTCTGCATGTTTCTTCCCATACCATTTCATCCATTTTCTGAACTCTCTGTCCATCGTCTGCAAGAGGAAGGAAAACCAAAACCAGCTATTAGGACATCTCAGATTTCCAATTCCATCAAAGCAATGGAGACACAGCTCTGAAGCACTCACTGATCCCCAAGAATTCTGTCTGGTTGGAGGTTTTTTGCCATTAACATTCCAAGGACAGGCAGATACAGAGCTCCTGCTGTTTAGTTTCCTTAAAAAACCAAACCCTCACTTCCTTAGGGCCAAGGCAAAGCTGGCATCTTCCCCCTCCCTTGCCATGGAAGTTCCATGTCCTAAGAAAAGCCCTTACAGTGCCCAGCACTAAAAATAGCCCAGCATTAAGTTGTGGTGCATAATCCCATAATGGGGGGGTGGGTACAGCCCAGCCTAAGCCCAGGGAGCAAAGCCAGGTCTGGGGTCACTGAGGAGGCAGAAAGCAGCAGGTAAAACATCCCAGAGGGAGAATCCTGCTTCCCACAGCAACTGGGAGTGCTTCAAACTGCACCCAAACACAGCAGGGCTGCAGAAGAGGGAGGGCTCTGCTGTTTTCCATTGTCCAAAGAAGGGAGAAAAGAACAAAATCCCATATCCAGCCAGCTCAGTCCCCATCACCACCTTTCCAGCAGCCTGGCCCCAGATGATCTTTAGGATTTGGCTCAAATTTGGAGGCGAGTCTCCATCCCTGGAGACATTCCAAACACACCTGGACACATTCTTGTGCTGCCTGCTCCAGGTGACCCTGCCAGAGGTCCCTTCCAACACCAACTATTCTGGGATTCTGTGTGAGAAGCCCAGCAGAAATTCTGATCCCACTGACAACTCAAGCTGATGGTTCAGCAGCTCAACAAAACTGTGTGTGTTGACAGGCATGTTTTATGCTCAAAAGCACTGCAAAACTGAGCAAGGTAACTCAAAAATCCCCAGTATTTTCATGTATCAACTTACATTTTAATTTATTAAGACAACTTCACTAAAACAAATCTGTATCATTCTTGCACTTTATGTGAAGCTTTTCAAATTCTATTGTCCATCTATTATCTGGGCACTATCACCATGGTACCCAGAGATGTGCTACAGCCAATTCAACTGGAAACTCAACCCAACTTCTTCCATAAATATTTGGAGGAAAACTGGCCCTAACAGAGGCACAAGGCAGCTTCACACACTCTGACACTGCAGCAGCTCCTTGCTTGTTAAACTGGATTTAACCAGGGAAATAATGCAGAACATTTTGTTCACCCAGTAATCTCATGGAAGACTTGTGACACTGGAGGTACCCCAGCAGTCACTACCCCCAATTCTCCATTTGTGGGTCATTCTTTTGTTTGTTGTTTTCACTGAAGCCCTGTTTGCACAGTGACAGGAAGGGGTATTAGTGAAAGTGAGAATTTCACTTTTCCTTATAAAGCTGATCTTTAATGGTAAACACAGAGGGGATTCCTGGCCTTGTAAATGCTCCAAAATGAAACCAGGATGTTCACACAGAGGAACTGCAGAGCCCTCCAGGTAGAAACTTCCACCCAGTTCTGGTAGGGGAAACAAAGCTGATTTTTAGGTCCTTGCCTGATCATCCTCACCACTGTGTTTATGCATTTTTGCCCACATCACTGAAAAGAAGGATCAAGGAGATTTATTTCTTCCCTCCCTCCATGAAGGATAATTTTCCAGCCTGTTCAGGCCGAATCTGTGCTTTGACAATTGAGAGGGATCAATTTCTGTTCAGGCTACTGAAGGAAGCAAACCTCTTGTGGGAAGACATGACTGCCCTTCCCTGTGTACTTGTGGCCTCCCAGGTTTGCCTTGAACTCATCTGTGTGTGCCCCATTGGCACAGAATCAGAAATGTAAAGAAACCTGACTAAAAAACCCTGACTAAACACCATCAAACAACCACAGAATGGTTTGGGTTGGAAGGGACCTTAAATATCATTTAATTCCTCCCACTGTCCCAGGCTGCTCCAATCCCAATGTCCAGCCTGGCCTTGGGCACTGCCAGGGATCCAGGGGCAGCCACAGCTGCTCTGGGCACCCTGTGCCACCCTCACAGGCAAGAATTCCTTCCTAATCTCTAATTTAAATCTCCCCTCCTTCAGCTTCAGGCCATTTTATGGTTTTCCTCACTAAGCAGTTACACACCAGACACCCAGCACAGGCCTCAGGAGGAACTTCTGGTGGTTTAAGAACTGAAAAAGAGGCATCACCACCACAGGCAGACACATGGCCTTTAAAATATTTAAGAACTAATTGTTTGGTGAATTTATTCCTGAATTTGCTGCATCCTGTGGCCTCTGGGAGCTGCAATAGAACCATTCCAGATATGGAATGACTGTAGGTATTTGGGTGAAGCTTATACTGCACTCCCTTTTGAACAAGCCCTGGTATTATTGTTAAAAGAATTTTCAGGGCTCTAGAAAGATGCCAATGCTCCTTCTGAACACTCCAGACTGGACACATTTCTTCCTCCAAGCACATCCTTGCATTGCAGGTTGATATTTCATTGCTCCAGGACTGGCTGATTTGAGCAGTAAAAATGCAGCAGGGCTGAAAATCTGCTTTTCCTGCAGCAGAGCAGGCAGGGCAGCACAGCCAGGCTCACTCACCTCGGCATACTTGGCTGGAATATCAGCTTTCTCCACTCCATAGTGATGTTTGCAGTTTGTGGCTGCAGCCACTTGAAGCACCACCTGCCCCACACCTGCAGGAACAAAACCCAGAGCTGAGAGCACCTCCAGGGAGAGAAGCTTCCAGAGCAAAGTGCACACAAAACCAGCAGCTGAGCTGAGGGACTGAGGGCACTTTGAGCTGCCAGGATCTGCCATTCCCAGCTGGAATTCCCACTGAGCCATTCCCAAAGGCATCCCCACTCCCCTGGGGCTGCTCAGCCCCAAGATCAGAGCAAGAAACCTGATTGAAACCTGACTGAAACCTGACTGAAACCTGATTGAAACCTGACTGAAACCTGATTTAAATCTGATTGAAACCTGATTTATTTCTGGGGAGAGCAGAGTAAAGGATCTGACATGGGCCTGTGACCCAGGGCCCCAGATATGATCTTCTCCAACCTTCCTGGACAAACAATTGTGAGAATCTATGGAGATTTTGTTTCCCTCCAGATGGAAAAGAGTTTCTCAGCTCTGATGTCTTTCTAAAGGTCTCATCTGAACATCAGGCCCCGACAGGAAATTTCAGTCAGTCCCACTGACAGAGGAAGCAGGGGTAAGAAAATCACTGAAGAGCCTGTATGTATATATTTATATATTATTCTATTCTGTTATTCTATATATATTCTAGATATTATTTTATTTTATATATATTATATTTTAAAATTTTATAATATATGTTAATATATTATTATATACTTTTTAATAGTATATAATTTCATATTTAATTATTCTACAATCTATTCTTTTACTATGTATAACATATATAAATATAGAAAATTTATGCATAACTTTAATATTTAAAATATACTCTCAATTTTAAAATATTATATTTTTTACAAAACATATTTTTGGCAAGAAGTCCTAGACCAGACACACTTGTTTGTGTTTAAATGTGTTAAAACTTCAGAACACATCAAGCAAGAGGGGAAATTCTTATTACTCCTTTCCTGTCCCAAACCAGATTTTACCAAGAAAAAGAACATCTTCTTACTCAGTATCTGTGTTGCACATGTGCTTGAGTCATACCTGGTTTCCTCACCAACTAGACACATCCATTTCCTTTTAAAACTCAACTGTTGCAGTTGTGGGTTAGGTTTGGTGGGGTTTCACAACTGTTCAAGTAGACTATAAAAGCTTTTTTTGACACACTGACAAGTCAGAGGTAAAAAAAACCTTCATTTTCAGATTCCACACCAAGTGTTTCACATGGGAAGGGTCAAGAAATCCCATTTTCAGATACCAAGGGCATAAAGCAAATCCACTGAAAACAGATGAATCCTTAGGAATGCAACTTTATGGGTCAAACATCATTTTTAACATTGCTTCTTCTTCACAAGTGTATCCAACAACACCAACACAAACAAAGGGGTTTGTAACAAGGGTTTATTGCATTGCAGGCTGATATTTCACTGCCACCAGAAGAGAGGTCTGGGGTGTTTAGTTTGGTCCATTTAATCCTGACATAAAAAGCAGGAGCATCTTTGGGGATTTTCTAGAAAAGATGCTTATCCTGTAACACAACCCCTAGTCCTGGGTTACTTCCCAAATATGGGGGATTTTAAAGTACAAAGAAAAAAAAAAGAAGAGAAAAAGGAGTTATTGGCCACTTACCACTGCCCAAGTCAACGAACAAATCATCCTCAGTCATTTTAATCTCATCAATCATTTGGGCCACCAAGTCAAAGGAGGTTTCTCCGTACACCTCAGGGGAGAAGGGCTCGTAGTTGTTGAGTTTCTCGGGGTCGGTGACAGAGTGGTTGTACACCTGCTGCAGGATGTGCCGCAGCAGCCCGTTGGACGGCCGCGTGTTCAGCTTCATGGGCTGCGTCGTCCCCTTCCACTGCAGGGACACCAGGGACAGCCTGTGAGCCCACACGGGGACAAGAACTGCCACCAAAGCCAGCTGAGGGTGAGGGACAGTCCCCTCCCAGAGCCTCTCCCTCAGCTCGGGCTGCAGGTGCTGTTTAAAAACAATGAACAGAAGTGGAGCCAGGCTGGGAGAGCTGGGGGTGCTCACCTGGAGAGGAGAAGGATCCAGGGAGAGCTGAGAGCTCCTTGCAGGGCCTAAAGGGGCTCCAGGAGAGCTGGAGAGGGACTGGGGACAAGGCATGGAGGGACAGGACACAGGGAATGGCTTCCACTGCCAGAGGGCAGGGCTGGATGGGATATTGGGCAGGAATTGTTCCCTGGGAGGGTGGGCAGGCCCTGGCACAGGGTGCCCAGAGCAGCTGTGGCTGCCCCTGGAGTTGGGAGGGACTTGAAAGCCCATCCAGTGCCACCCCTGCCATGGCAGGGACACCTTCCACTGTCCCAGGCTGCTCCAAGCCCAATGTCCAACCTGGCCTTGGAGCTTAGAGCAGCCTGGGACAGTGGAAGGTGTCCCTGCCATGGCAGGGGTGGCACTGGATGAGCTTTAATGTCCTTCCAGCCCAAACCAGTCTGGAATTCTGTCCAGGTCCAGTTTTTGGCATTCCCTGTGGAAGCTTTCCTTCCCTCTGTAGTCTTTGTGAGAGCGACAGAAAAAAACCAAAAGGCCTTTTTAATGGGGTCCTCAAAATGGGAAACTCTCCAGAGGAAAGAAATTAACTTGTGCCACCTCAATCCTTACTGAGAAGTGGTCGATGTTGGCCTGGTGTTCGTGAAAACCTCTTTTTCTGTGGTTATTATCCCTGGCAGTGTCCCAGGCCAGGTTGGACATTGGGGCTTGGAGCAGCCTGGGACAGTGGAAGGTGTCCCTGCCATGGCAGGGGTGGCACTGGGTGGGCTTTAAAGTCCCTCCCAACTCAAACCAGTCTGATACTGCAGAAATTGCACACCAGCAGTTCCTCTGCACTTTGTCACACCTCTATTAACAGGTAATTTCACAGGTGATGAAGGGGAATTTAAAGAAATGCAAGAAACAATTGGCAATGTAAAGCACAACACTGAATTTGAGGTGTAAAGGAGTTGGAGTTGGGGGGGGTGTAAAGGTCTGTTCACTCCTTTTTTCTTTGCTATCCCCTCTGAACTGATGTTGACAACACAAGAAAGATTAATTTTGCTCCAGGAGCTGTCACATGAGAGAGATCAGATGCATTCAGACAGGAGTGGCAGGAAAGAGATGGAAATCAAGCTTCCTTTCTTCTTCAGAAAAATAAGTTGTTAAGTTTTAAAAATGTCTACCTCTCCCTTTGATAAAAACAAACAAAAAAAGGGCAATTCCAGGACCCCTCCTAAACATTCCTGCGAGATTCAGATGAGAAGGAAAAAATTAAACCCATCAGGTTTGCCAGTTCAGATAGCAACTGCAAATGCTGAATAGCTGCCAATATTTGGCTATTAACCAACATAGACATGAAGGTGGCCGAGTCCAAATAAGCACAAGTTTTTAAGGCCCAAAAATTTAAGAAAATCCCAGCAAAAAAGGCTTGCTGCCATAATACTGCATATCTCAAATAATTCCCATATGTACAGCAGAGAAAGAAATCCAGCTATGCTTTCAAATTAAGCAGAATAGGAACATTATTCATTGTTCATGTTTTGCTTCCTCCAGTTCAACCTTTTCTGGGGGTAAGAGAACCAAAAACTCATTAAATTGGCCTGGATAGAGATTACATTCTACTTTAGCCAGTGATCCCACAGGCCAGAGCAGCTGAACTGTGGCAAGGAAATTCCTAAGCCATGGATCACTTCCACAACACACAGGAGAGTTCATATGGATTATTTAAGTACCCATAAGTCACAGATTTCCCTGTGTAAAAGTCAATCTATATGAGAAATCCCTGTGTTAAATGCAGATAAACCTTTCCTTCCCCCTAAAGGCAAGTCAGCTATTTCCAAGTGCCAAAATAACAGAGCCAGAAGTGCACAAGGAAGAGCAACAGCTCTGAATTTGGGAACAAAAACTGATGTTTAATTCCTTTTCTTTCTGTAAGAATGTCCCTCCAATACTAACTCCTTGACTGCCCAGGTGTGATCAGGAAAGGAATTTTAATACCAAGCTCAAGCCCCCCAAAAACTGGATATTCTGATGGGTATAATGCAGCACTGAGTCAGTCTCTGAATCCTGAATTCAAATGTGGCACAAAAAACCCTGGCAGGGCCCAAATTCAATGCCCAAAAACCCTGGCAGGGCCCAAATTCAATGCCCAAAAACCCTGGCAGGGCCCAAATTCAATGCCCAAAAACCCTGGCAGGGCCCAAATTCAGTGCCCCAAAACCAGGGCAGGCCCCAAATTCAGTGCCCAAAAACCAGGGTGGGGCCCAAATTCAAGACTTACCAACTGGTGGATGCTGTCAATGGCTCGGTTGTACTTGTCACACAGTCTCTGCATGCTCTCAAAGCTGGGGGGAGAACACAGGGGCAGCTCAAAACAGGCAGGTTTGAAGGTAAAACCTTGGGTTTTTTCGTTCTCTTGCCTAGTAGGTATTCAGGGTTTGTTTTTCTCAGAATATGTAATTACATACATAGATTAAAGACTTTGTTTCCTTTAAATAAAATCCTCAGTAGACCAGGAGTACATGACAAATAATATTAGTTCCTTTATTATAAGTCATACTTTGAATACAGCCCTTTTCCTGGTAAAGTTCTGTATTTTTAGAACCTCTTCTCTGTATTTTCAGCTAAGCAGAAATTTAAGAGGTCTGTTCATTTTTCTCCTTTTTGCTATCATCTCTCCACAATAATCAGTCCTGAGACAAGCAGATGCTTTTCCAGAAATTCATTCTGGGACTGAAAATGCAGACAGAGCCAGAACACAGCCTGAAACATCACCCATCAGGAAAGCCTGGAGATTGCTCCATGGGCTGGCTGGATTATGGTCAGCCCAGGCAGATGCCCTAATGACACAAGCTGAGAGGATTAAAACAATTCATCTCAGGCCAGGAAAGAAAGTAGATCCTGGGAACATCAATTGTTATGTAATCAGACCCACAAAGAGCAGCAAAAACAACACAGGGAGTCACAGGAGTGGCATCATTAAACCACAGGTATTCCCAAAGCTGGGAAGGGATGGGGGCAGGGGACATCAGAAGGGACAGTTCAGTGTCTTGTGATCCTCAGGGTCACTATCCCAGCCAGGACACCTCTCCCATAAGTTCTGCCCATTCCATTCCAAGCTTCCAGCTGCCTGTGCTTGTTTCCACACTGGGAAAAGCAAAAGGCTGCAATGGGGTTTGTCTGCATTTCCAGCACCTGCTGCTTCTCCCTCACATCCCTGGCACAGCCCATCTGCTGCCAGGGATTTTTCTGACAATCTTTTTCAGAGGAAGAAAAAAGACTGAAATCATTACCAGAATTCCAGTTCATGACTTCCTTGAGAAGCTGCAGGAAGGTACAGGGAGTGATTTCGGGGAACAGAGGGGTTTCACTTTAATTCAGCATTGCTGCCAACCACACTGATGGTCCCCAGTGAAACACACCCAGAGAAGATGCCAAAACCACAGAATTACAGTAATGCAGCTGCTGGAGTAATCCACAGATCCAAATTAATGGATTTTAATGACAAGGAATGCTTGACCTTGATTGCTCCTTTTGAATTTTCCAGGAGGAAGACAGGGACTAACAAGTCTTACAATGAAACAACTGAAAATTGAGAGAAGAAGCAATACCTTAAGCAGATCAAGACAGAAGTATCTGGTGCTGGGGAGGTTTGGTTGGGAAATATTCTTCCCCAGAGGGTTCTGGGGCACTGAACAGGGAATGGTCCCAAGGCTGCCAGAGCTCCAGGAGCGTTTGGACAGCGCTCTCAGGGATGCTCAGGGTGGGATTGTTGGGGGGTCTGTGCAGGGACAGGGGCTGCACTCATCATCCCTGAGGGATCCAGCTCAGGATATTCTGGGATTCTACTCACAGCAATGCAGTTTCATCTGTAAACTTTCTAACAGTTTAGTCATTCTGTGGACTTGGATAATTTCAGTCTTTCCCATGAAGGCAACCAAGGAGGTTTTTGTAAACTGCAGCTTGAGCATCCTCCCTTTTCCCAGCCTCAGCAGAGCCAAGTCCATGCACAGAATCTCAGAACTCTCCACAGACACACCCCAGGCCAAGACCTGCCTCTCCCAGCCCATAATATATCCCATATCCCAGAAGAGACATTCATTCTGAACTGCTTGTGGGTATGAATTCCCATGTAACTGAGGCACCTCAGAACCCTCCAACTGCCCATAACACTCCTGGGAATTTCACCTTTGAGTTCAGCCCCCACGCAGCAGGAAGGGGAAGGAGGGGCAGGTGCAGCTCCCACTGCCACCTCCAGCTCTGCCATGCCCTGCTGAGAGCAGGAATTCCTGGTTACTACAGGAGTAGAACCTCGCTGCCATTGAGATTCCCACCCTGGCTGCACTCCAAGGGTGCAGATACCAATCATTGTTTCACAGTGAGTAATTCAATGTACAGCAGAGCTGCACTGGAGCTGTGTGCAGTTTCCAATTATGTCCTTAATCCAACTGCCTTTGCCAATGTTGCTGTTACACATTTCCTACCAAAATAACTCCAGCAGAGCCTGAAGCCAGTTCTGAGAGAAAACTTCAGTTGGTAGTGTCTAAGAATAACCAGTTACACACTGGTTCACTACACCCTGTGCTGGCCTGAACTCCTGCTGGGAACAAAAACATTCCTCTCACCTTTTTGTATCATAGTCAATTAAAACATAGTTTTCCATGGCAAGCTTGAGATCTGGGATTTCTTCACAGACCCACCTGGAAGGAGAGAAGAAATAATTAAAAGAGGTATTGGCAATTAAGTGTAATAAGGTCATTTATCTCCATTCTGGACTGCTTTACATGAAGAGAGGATACTGCAGCAGCCCTGGGAACTCCCAGTGTTGTTAGGAATCAGGCAGACATCATGGGAAACTGCAACAGTTCACATTTGTACTGAATAAACAGCAAGATGCCTGTAGACACTGGCAGGAGCAAAAAGCTTCAAAATGAGGTGATAAATGTATTCCACGTGTCTAAAAATACTCAAAGTCATGGCTGATGTTAATCTAACATAAAATGCAGAAGTGCAGCATTTCCAAAGAATTCTGATTCTGCAGGAAGCTTTGACAAAGCTGAATGTGCAAAGACATTTCCCACAGTAGCCCAAAAACCCAGTCACCAAGCACTCAGTGCCAGGATATTCTCCTCTGGGGAGCATCCAAACTGCTCTTAAACCTTACACACACCAACCAAACCAGATTTTTAGAAGTTATTTTGCTAAAAGACCCTTTTGATATTCTGAATTAACACAGCCCTGTGTGTTGTGGCCATCAGAAAGGGAAAGCACGTGCCCACTTGCAGTGCATCCAACAATGGCAGCTCACAGGAGAGAGCTTCACTTGTGGAATGGAGGAAGATTAATTCCCTTCAAAGGCAATTTAAATGCCACAGAAGCTTTGCACACACTTTCTTCCACAAATATCAAATTGGAAAGCACTGTCAGCATCAAAAAAACCCACATCACAGGATGAATTCCAATAGGAATTGCAGAATTTCTTCCTTGTGAACTTTGCTCCATTCTTCACTATTAAAACGGTGAAAAAAAATTACTGAAGATCCAAGAGCTCTGTTCCTCTGGCTGATTCACACATGGTTAATAACTACACAGGCCAGTGAAAAGCAGAACGTGCACATGTATGGCTGGCCCTCTTCTGGCATCTCCCATCTCCCCTAAAAGCTCCAGGGCTCTCCCTGCAAACTTCTTACTCTTAAATCCCAGGAACAGGCAGCCAACAGCTGCCTACCAGCAGCTTGATCCTTGTGTCCCTGTCCATGGGATATTCCAGGACTCCAGTGCCTGATGACATAAAGCCTTCCTTGCATTCTCTCACCCACCACTTTCACAACAGCACTGTGGGCACTTTGCAAAAGGCAAAGGCAGCACAAGAGCTTCTGGCACTGAGTTCACTCCAGCCTTGCTTAAAGCACAGTTATGAAACATTATTTGACTCAATTTCTCCCTAAGACAGCTTCCCTTTGCCTCCAGCACAGAAAGCAACAACTCCAGCCACCCCTCCAGCCCAAGCTCCCTCTGAGCCCCTTGGAGGGGGCCTTGTCCACACCCACCAGCAAATCCCCAAGATCCCAAGGCACAGGATCTTATCCCCACCCATCCAAGCAAACTGGCAGCACCAGTGCCAGTGTTTTGTAGACAGGAAAAGAAACCTTCAGGAGAAAAATGTTCAGGTCCAGCCTCATTCCACATCCTGTGCCACCCCAGACCATGGGAAATGCTGATTCCTTGCATGTGAGTGATGTTAAAGCCCTTGGCTCTCTCACACTCACACTGGGAGCACACAAGGCTCACTACTTCCTTTTCCTTTGCCATATATGACCAAATTGCGAGCTCAGGTGGTTCTGCAGGTAAAACACCTCTTCCCCACCTTTATCTGCACCACCCAAGCATTAAAAGCTGCTGCAGACACAGCCCTGAGCTGAGCCAAGGGCAGCCTGTAAGGATCTAAAACAGTTAACAAGAACAGCTTTGTAATGGGGATAACTCATCCTCATCCCTCAGGTGTTTGGGGAATTCGTGTAGCATTTATTAAAAGTTGTTCTTTGGCAAGTCCCCTCCTAATCCTGCTGAAATAACAGCAAGTCACGTCCTGAGAGCCCGTGTTGGGAAATCCTCTGACTTCCTGCTCCTCACAGTTGTCTTTCACCTTTATCCTCCCATTTTCCCCACGCTGTTCCAACTCTATCAGCAGGATTAAGAGGAATGCTACAGGGAGATCATTGCCAAACAACCCAAAGGCTGCAAATCACAGCAACAGGGGCAACAGAGAGGGTGGGCAGAGGCAAGATCAGGACATAACACATCAAGCCAAGGATGTTTCCTTAACCTTGTCTGTCCAAAGCTCAGACACAAACTGCCACAAGTATTAAAGCTGAACACCACCACTCATTTTTAACACTGGTCAAAACAGAATGGAATATGGCAAGATAAAACAAAATCTATTTGCCAAGGAGATCTGTATTGCACCAAATTCAGCTTAGAAAATAACTCAGAGCTGCTAAATGGTAACTGCTGCCCTCCTGCATGTCCTGACTCCAGCCATCCCCTCCCAGAGCTGCAGTGAGGTACAGGAAGGGCCCCAGGCAGGCTGCACCCAGCACTTACCGAATTGTCTCAATAATTTCGTGAGCAGCATCGTGGTGTTTGTCCTGAAATTAAACAAAAAAAGACATATCAGGTGCTGTTTGTAAGGAGTTTACAGGAATCAGTGTTTTTAAGGATACAGGTGCCAAGTATACTGGGAAAGGAGTCTTTGAATTCCATCCACTAAAGTAATCAAAATGAGCCCTCTAAGAAAAAATAAGGCTTAAACAAATAATTGATATTTATAATTTATATAAATATATATAACTTTTATATATATAAAACAGATATGAAGGAACTGTTATTCTGTTTATTTCTTTGTCATTCCCTGCAGTCAGGGACTGTGTGGCTGGGAATTATGACAGAAGCCTTTGGGGATTATTGGGATGCAGCAGGTACTTGATGCAAGTTCCCAATGAACAGCTGATTCCCTTGGCCCAGCATCTGGCACAGGCTCCCAGCTCCAGATGGGAGTGAGAGCCTCGCACAGGGAATGGCTTTTCAAAATAAAGCATCCAATAAACACTGGGAGAGGATCAGTGCAGGAAAAAGAACCTCAGAGCACACAGAAAAAAGGCCTGGATATGCAGCCCTGCTGATGAAGTGAAACCCAAACCACACAAAACCTTGACCATCACACATCCACACCAGGGTGAGACATGGAGGTTTGCTCATTTCATTTGGGAGTTTATTCAGAAGCAACAGAAGCACAAGTGGGTTTAGCAAATTATTACAAATTCACGCTAAAAAGAGCCCTTGGAGCTGCATTTATATGCACCATTGTACAAAAAAAGTTCCATTTTAGGGAAGCCACAGGAGTTCCTTACACACATTGATGTATCCAGCTTGTGAAGCCTTAGCTACCAGAGTCCATCTGCACAAAGCTGGGGTTATATTTAGACATTTGTTTCTGCAAGTGGCTCTGACCTTTTAATTAGGAGTCTTGTATCTACAGCCCTTCCAGAAATACAAGTGCAAAGGCTCCCTCAAATCATTTCCCTTGTCTTGTGCTGCAGAAATGTCATTTCTGCAGAGGTACCAGGGGAAATTGTGCAGCAAAGGGTAGAGACAGGTAACAAAAGAGAGGGGGAAGGGGAAGGGGAAGGGGGACCACTGACAGTTGATGACAGAAAATGGTTGGATTATCTCGTTTTCAAGACATGGAATGACATGATCTGAGCCAAATGGAAGCATTTTCCATCAGTATCTCAGCTTTCCTATTTTCAGGAGGAAACTTATTTTCCCTTGTATAACCAGTTCATGCACTTGGGATCAGCCAGACCTGCAGAAGTTCTCCTTCCAAGCAATTTCTACACAGTCCTTTCAATGCCTGCTTAAAAATCTCAGGACAGATGCACAGACAGGCAAGAATTAGGGGTCTGCCATCCTTCCAGTGCCTTAAAGGGGCTCATAAACAAGAGGGAGAAGAAATTTTTATATGGGGAGTTAGTGACAGGACACAGGGAATGGCTTCCACTGCCAGAGGGCAGGGCTGGATGGGATATTGGGCAGGAATTGTTCCCTGGCAGGGTGGGCAGGGCTGGCACAGGGTGCCCAGAGCAGCTGTGGCTGCCCCTGGATCCCTGGCAGTGTCCCAGGCCAGGCTGGACATTGGGATTGGAGCAGCCTGAGATGGTGGAAGATGGGACTAAATGATATTTAAGGTGCCTTCCAACCCAAACCAGTCTGGAATTCTGTACTAAAGCTATGAGAGAACTCTGTTTTACCAGGAAAAAAAGTTCTTCTTTTCAGATGACAAAAAGTTAACCCCAAATCCAGAAGCCACACGGAAGACTAAGGCAAGAAAACCAAATCATTCCAGTTCCAATATGGAGAAGGAAAAACAGCCAACAACAGTAGCCAGGACACTTGGGATGGAACACACACAGCCTGGAGCTGAGCACTGCCTTGGCCACATTTCACAACTTGCTGCTGCCACAACAGCACCCCAGACATCACAGAACAAATATGGGGCTGTGTTTCCTCCAAGCTCTTGGGCTGGGACAGCCCAAACTCTACAGAAAATAGCAGCATCCATAATCCAGACTCCCAGGAATGTCAGGTAATTCTTTTGATAAATCTTGGCCTAGAAATCAGGGAAGCACTAAAACCTGCTCCTGTCTCTCATGCACAAATAAAAGAGTGTGTTCTCTCCTCTTTTCTCTGTGCACTGAAAGGAGGGCACAAGGAGGGAGGGGAACTTCTCTTTCGTCTCATGACTTATCTGCCAAGTGTAAGAATAACCCAGGACAGCAGCTCATCCATAAACATTCCCCAGAAATGTTCACATTTCACTCCATGCAGAATTATCTCAGCAGAGCCCCCCTGGGCTGATCCAGCTCTCCCAGTAAACTGTGTTCCTGCAGAGTCAGAATTTGCTTTATCACCATAAGCACATTATACCAGAAAAGTGAATTCAGGCTTATTCTGGCATAATCATTTCCTGGGAGGAAGTTCTGCTCCCCACTGCTGGGGTTGGACACTTGCAGTATGAACAGAGCACATGGGGACCCCCTGATCCTACAGGTCTTCATGAAAACACCCCATGAGTGACAAAAATTGTCTAATTAACACATTCTTCTCTCTTGGGTTAAAAAGTTAAAAAAGTCTAAAAATAATAATAATAAATCATAATTCACATCTACAACTACAGAACAGCCAATTTAAGTGACTTTGCATAACCTCATGTGGAAACTTCAGGCAGAAGGGGCCTTTGAGCTTAGTTTGTGGCAGTATCTAGGAATAAAGAAATCAAAACCAGTTCCACATCTAGTGCTGCTGAACTTCCCATGCTGAAACACATCCCAAGTTTACTTCACTAACAGACCTTGGCTGAGCAGAGAAGCTCTCATGGTCTCAAGAAAGTCTTGCAGAAAAAAAAAATACAGTAGGATCTCCTACATTTCTTTAAAGCAGAGCTGGCTGTGGAAAATTGAGAGAAGGGGGAATACATAACTGAAGGGAATACAGAACCCAGCTTCCCTTTTCTTAGAGAAACTTTCAGCTCCATTTCATCATTATGGTTGTATGATTTAATCAGAAAAGACATTGAACAGCAACAGGCATCACATCTGTGTTCAGGCAACTGATTATGACACTGACAGGGAGTCTGGGGCAACCAAAAGGCAAAGGAACAGAAATCCCCCCAAATCCTGACCCTGCTCCAGCCTCTGCCATGGGCATCCCAAACTCCCCAAATCCTGACCCTGCTCCAGCCTCTGCCATGGGCATCCCAAAC